AAATATGTTTCTACGACATTAATAAGAGAGTTACCTTTCTTGAGGAGAGGGCAGTCGACCTTCCAGTGTCCTGACTTGTTGTACTTGTGGCATATACCTTTCGACTTCTTTTACCACAGACTGAGGGGGCAGTCGCTGTACCACCAGGCATCCTGCACCTTTGCCTTTCCTGCAGACTTCTTTCTCTTCCTGCCCTTGTGAGGACTGTAAGGTCCAGCCTGCACGGCAACCAGTGCGTGAGGCGCCTGAATAAATAAGGCCTCCGCTGACTGAAGCTCTGGTAACAGTTCTGGAAAAGCCATATGCATCTTGTGCATGTTGTAGTTCAACCGGAACTGATCAAAGCTGTTTGGCAGAGATTGGACCATGATATCAACCTGGGTTTCCCCGTCGATAAAACCTCCCATAACCTCAAGCTCATTGAGTAGCGCCATAACCTTGAAAGCATGCTCCCTTATGGTGTGCCCTCTACCATGCGCGTAGTCATCAGAGCACTCATGGCGTCTTGCCTAGCAGCCCTAGACTGGTGTCCGAACAGATTCCTGAGATTGAGAAGTATATCTGCTGTAGTGGTCATAGACTGATGCTGATGTTGAAGAACATTTGACATAGATGCCAGAATGTAACACTTCGCCATCTCATCAGCCTTTTTCCACTGGACATACTCCTCTTTCTCCTGCTCAAGAGCATTAGCCGCGGGCTCTGCCGGGCAAGCCTCAGTAACGCAAACTTATAACCCTCAGCAGTCAACACAATGTCTAAGCTCCTCTTCCAATCAATGTAATTAGGACCAGTAAGTTGATTTTCTTTTAGAATGACAGATAACGGATTGAACGACATGATGAATATCTGAGAAACACGAAAATAATTTTAAAAATAATTTTACAGATTAAACACATTTGAATTTAAATGCTAATATTGATATCCTCAAAACAATATTAACTTATATTCACCGACATCTAAAAACACCGAGAGTTAATGCATGATGCGAGGGCAACTCTACACAACTCAACATTCGCAAGAGAAGGGCTTTCAAAGGCCCATTAATTTCCATAAGTCAAAACCAAATTCATGACGAATGAAATTAATAGTCGGTCTTCATTTGGTCATGAAATAAATTCAGAGACCCCGAGGGGAGTTATAAATAAATCGCATTCTAAGTGAATCCCATTTCTCGATCCTGAGTTCATACGAATTCGATTATACGTCATCCGAAGGGAAGCCCGTACTCTCTCATAAGACTCCCTCTAATCGTCTAATTAGAAAATCGTCCTGGTAATTTCCTACAATTAATTTTAGCGATGTCACTCGAGGGGGAGCCCATAACCGCAATTAATTGATTTACCGAAAAATTAGAAATGGAGGCCTTAGGAATTTTACAATTAACTTTAATTTAAAATTCCTT